AACCCCTCCCAACAAAACACACACCATCGCTCAGCTCATCCGGAAACCTTCACTGAGATGAGAAACCATTTCCTCCACCTGACTGCTGCACATGTGACACAGGAGAGAAACAAGAGTACTGTGTACTGGTGTGAACATATGCACTGCTTTTACTCAAATGTACAAAACAGACACCATTGTAGCCATATGAACAGATGGAGCTCATTAGTGTTCTACTGCACAGTACACACTGAATATATTTTAAGTATGTGAGTGTGCTAAAGGTCTTAAAAAGTATGCAGCATTTTTACATCATAACATGAAAGATAACGTCTCAGTTACTAGCGTAACCTCGGTTCCCTGAGAGTAGGGAATGAGTATTGCGTAAGTAACTTACGCTATGGGAAAAGTCCTTTTCTCAAGAATATTGAATATTTAAAACGCAGTGCAGCCACATAGCTGAGAACCTAGTGCGCTCATTGGCTGTGCTGCGCAACTGCACGAACCGATTGCGAGGCGACTCAGGCGGCCGCCTTGCACCCATGTGTGTCAGAGCCTGGCTTATAGCTATATAAGCCCCCATTCTCGCCCTATAATTTAGGTTGAATCAACTGAGGTGATCCCCTGATCAAAGCACAGTGGCACGGTGGGTTACACAATATCGTTCCCTACTCTCAGGAAACCAAGGTTATGTTACACCCGAGGCCCATCGTGTAAAGTTCTGAGTCCTAAAAGAGACTAAACAGTGACTAACCTCTTATAGCGAACCAATAAATGGGCCACACTCCTTATTTATATGGTACATAGCCCAGCCCACCACCACACAGATATCTTCCAGTGGTAATTGGCTTTATGCACAGCAGCACTGCTTCCTGAACTTCAGCCAGCTCATTGTTTCCTGTCTGCAATTATTGGACAAATTGATTAATTCAGGTGTGCCTGACCTCAGTAGTCACAGCAACAATAATCAAAATCACGCCTGAATTAATCAAGTATGTCCAATCCTTCTTTGGAACGAGGAAGTCATCCAAGATGTCCATGTCATTATTTCTTCAGTCAAAAAGAAATTAAGGTTTTTGATGAAAACCTTCCAGGATTTTTTTCCATATAATGGACTTCAATGGGAACCAAACGGTTCAAATTATCAGCAAAAGTTTTTCGGGTTTTTTTTAAGTGAACTACTCCTTTAAATACCATGAATCGATTAGGCCATCCTGTTTTCAGTTGACGAATGAAATGGAACATTATAGCGCTCATCCCATCCAATAAATCGCAATAATCTTTGTGTTTTGTTACTATTGATATGAAACAGTCTCAGACTTTTAAATACGTCCATTTTCTTACGAAATTCAAAAACCTACCGTTTTGGCGCTGCTCCGAAGAACCATATGAAGAGTTCAGATGCAAAAGCCTCTAAATGCCATTTGAAATTTTCTTCTAAAATGATTTTTTTTTTTTTTATCAAGCTTGTATATTTAAGTTCAGTAATTTCACTTAAATGGAAATGAAGATTACCTATTAATTGTCATTTAAGTGAAATTACTGAACTTAAAAATACAAGCTTGATAAAAATGGTCATATTAGAAGAAAATTTCAAATGGCATTTAGAGGCGTTTGCATCTGAACTCTTCATCCAGTGGCCATAAACTCGTTAGTCAGCTAGAAAAATTAACTCTAGAGCAGCATTTCGCTAAATATCAGATCACATATTCATTGTATATATTTAAGTTCTTAAATATTTCATGTTTGAATAAATCTGGCAAGTTATGACGGCCACAATTTAAATGTCTATATTTCATATAGACTAACTTTATTATAAAAATAAGTAAGAGTGATTTAAGTGTTTCTATAGAGATCAGTATATAATTACCAATACTATTGGCCAATTGATTCCCCATTAACACCATTAGTTAAGAGATTTGTTTTCCTTATGAAAATTTCCCGTATTGAACCTGCATCAAAATAATCAATATTAAGTCTAATCGAATTACAAGCTTGTGAATCGAATTGTGAAATTTGTGTCAATAGCAGCCCTAATAGTGGGCACACAACCCAGCACGAGCCGGAAGAACAGACAGAAAAAAGTGCTCTTTTCGTGCTTTATTTGAGTGAAATGGATATGTGAAAACGAAAAGCTTTTTGGAGGTTGGTCCAGCCGCAGCGGGACTCAAACACTCTTTTCCTAACCTGTCACCATGGCTAGGCTGGGAGACGGGCGGCGCTGACTTCACTGGCTGTAAGGCGCCTTCTTCGGTGCAACGTCCCGCAAATCCTCGGCTGCTAGGCCGAACAGACTGGTGGTGGAGATTGGGGAGTTCAGAAAGGCTTCCCTGTCTGCGTGCTTCATCTCTGTTAGGTTTAACCAAAGATGACGTTCAAGCACCGTCAAGTACGCCATGCTCTTACCAATCGCCTGGGCGGTCGACTTGACAGCTCGCAAAGCCACGTCAGTGGCGATGCGCAAGTCCCTTAAAGCTTCCGGTTGAGGTCCAGACTTGTACATCGAGCTAAGTTGTTTGGCCTGAAAAACCTGGACGACAGCCATGGTATGAAGCGCCGAAGCAGCTTGGCCAGCGGAGGCGTAGGCCCGGCCAGCGAGAGCTGAAGTGGCGCGGGAAGGTTTGGACGGGTGAGTCGGTTTAACTTTCCATCGCCTAGCGGTGGGCGGGCAGAGGTGTGCGGCCACCGCTTCCTCGAGGGGAGGAATGGTTTTGTATCCTTTCTCAGCAGCGCCGTCGACGGTCGAGAGCATTGAAGAGATGGACGGCTTTAGACGAGTTGAGTTTGGCGCTTTCCACGACTTTGTTAGTTCGTCGTGTACTTCTGGGAAGAAGGGAGCTGGTCTCTGCCGAGGGGGCTGCCAGCGCTGCTGAAGGAACCGACCGTCTAGCCTGCTGCGCTTGGGTGGTTCGGGCGAAGACCACTCGAGCCCGAGGTCTTTAGCGGCCTTCGTCAACACGCGAAGCATCTCTGCCTCTGCATCAAAGCGGAGTCTCGCGTCGCTCGTGCAGGCTTGGGTTGAGGGTGCGGGGTCGACCCTGGAGTCCGTCAACTTGCATCCGGATGCAGCGAGAAAAACACTTTTCGTTCTCTTCCTCTGATCCCTCAAAAAAGTCGAGACGGACTGCTCGATGAGAGGGGCGCTGGTCTGCCTCTGCGAACTGGACAGGTTAACGTTAGGGGGATTCCCTGGGTGAGGCACGCGGGAACTAGGCCGGCGTGAGCTCACTTGAATTCGCCCGCTCTGATATGCTCCGTGAGCGCGGCCCGAGCAAAGGTTAAGGGGGGGTACGGGGTCGTTGTCTTTGAAACTGACCTGTCGAGGCGGCCGCATGGTGGAGAGCGGCATCTCATCATACTTTGCTTTAGAGAGTGCAGCTTTCGCGTGGCCACGGCCCAAACCGGAAGCATGGATGTGACGATCTCCGCCGGAGAGAGGGCCTCTGCACGAGGCGTAAGTGACCCGAGACATTTGAAACAACGCCTAGAATTTGTTCTTTTTGATGAATCGCAGCGGTTCGCACAGATAGCTTGATCCGCTGAAGAGTTTCGGTGATGGGGTGGAAAGAATGAGACTGTTGAACAATGCGATTGATATCCGAATTATAAGCCACGCCCATTGTGGCGGGCTCTGACACGCCTGGGCGCGAAGCGGCCTGATTGGTTAGCGCGCCTGAGTCGCCTCGCCATAGGTTCGTGCAGTTGCCGCAGTACAGCCAATAAGCGCGCTAGGCTCTTTAGCGTCAGTAACTTTTTATTGTCTTTGAAATACATAAATGCTTTTATTCAGCAAGGATGCATTAAATTAATGAGAAGTTTCAGTAAAGACATTTAATGTGACAAACGATTTGTAGTTCATATAAATTATGTTACTTTCAACTTTCTATTCATGATCGAATCCAAAACAAGTCACAGTTCCACAAAAATATTAAGTGGTGTAACTTTGTTCAGCATTAATAATAACAATAAGAAATGTTTCTTGAGCAGCAAATCAGCATTTTATAACGATTTTTTGAAGGATCAGGTGACACTGAAGACTGGAGTAATGGCATCTGGCATCTCATATTCATACAGAAAGCAGTTATTTCAAATTGTAATAATTTTTCACAATATTACTGTTTTACTGTATTTTTTATTAAATAAAAGAGCATAAGAGACTTCCTTCAAAAACAATTTGGTCGCCATATTTTTTAATGGCATAGCAATAATCATGTTTATAATTTACAATAATGCCCGCCATACTAGCTCTGAAGGCAGAGCACTTCACATCCCGTTTTTTACAGTCTTCTGACACATTTTGGTCACTGATCGAACAAAATCGAGCACGCCGAGCTAGAAATATCTGCGTTTGATTCTTTTCTCTGTGCAGTTGATATTTACCTGCACATTTCCAGTGGTGCTCTCTGACTCAGATCAGCACTGAATATTTCACAAGCTGCAACTACGATGAAAGACAAACACATACAAAATGTATAATTCACATAAACACTATTGTGCCAGATGCACGGGAAAAGCAGCCAAAAAAGTGAACTGAATTAGCTCTGCCTGGCAGCACCAGCTTCCAAAACCTTTTAAAACTAGATCCTCACAGCAATTGTGCTCATGCAGAAACACATTTACACCTTCAGGAGGCATATCATGTAAAACAGGATTTTTTCTTTATCTTCTGAAGTAAAAGACTTCCACTTTTCATGCTTCAAGGTTTGAGTCCTTCCCTACCTTATTTTCTTCTTTCCCTAGGAAACATGTCAAATTATGGGAGTAAAATAGGTTACAAATGTCATTTCATTACTTTAAAACAACAAATAAACTTGTGTCAGAGAAAGAGAGTTAAAAATGGTCATGAAAAACATAATTATGACTGTTTTAGGTGCATGACACCTTGATTAAAGGCCTGTTCACACCAAGGACAATAATTATAACAATAAAGACATAGTTTTAAAAATCATTCAATAAAAATCTAAATGTAAAATAATTGCACAGTCCATACTACTACTATAACAATAACAACAGAGGAATGAGTTGGAATCACTTTCAGAATAATTTTTAAATGATTTTTGACAACCAATCAGAATCCATCCTTCTTTAAAGCGCTCAAGTATTTAAAGTGGCAGACGACAAAACTGCAAAGCGTGCTTTTAATAAACAGAATGATATTGTCTTTTAAAGTTGACGTTAAAGTAATTTTTATCGTCCTTGATATGAACAGGCCGTAACATTATAAAATTACGTTTAAGAAAAAAAATGCTCAAAAAGTGTATAATATTGGCCCTTTTTTATCATATGATAACACAGAGGCAGCAGGAACGTGTGTGTTTTTTGGGCAGCTCCTGCTCCTCATTAGGAGTCTCCATGATCGAGCCTTGCTCTTGACTCCGCCCATCACACAAAGAGTGGGAGGAGTCAGAGGAGATTGACTGGAGACCCCCACACACGAGCTCGGCCGCGTTCCCGTCCGTAGTGGACATGTCCGTCACTGTCCTCTCCCTAAGGGACATATCATCATCATCCTCATCAATCAGCACCACATCCGTTTTCACGTCCACCTGGATGCAGGGAACGGTCTGAACATCCTCCGAGCTCTCCAGGTAACTGGAGTCGATGAAACCCATTAGAGAGGACTTGTCAATGTCCAGTGACGCGTCGATTAGACTGTCCTCCGCCTCGTGGTGCAGATATTGCATCTCTTTCAGATTTTGGACATTGGAAACGCTCCATGAATTACATGTCTGTTCATTTGTTCCTATAACACCGTTCGATGCGACCTCTGTCGGATTTGTTTTCCCTCCATCATTAGCCGTGACCTCTAGAGTCAGTTCGGGTTCAAAAATGGTCTTCTGCGGGTCCCTGAAAAGCGTCCCATCCTTTTGAGAACTGTTCATCATACACTTTTGCTTCTTCACACAGGTTGTCTTTCCAACAGAGCCTAGGACAGTGAAAAAGAGGATTCATATGGCTATACATGCTAAAGTCACCGCTACGATATCAGGGCATTGTGTTATGCGGTTGCTAAGATGTCATTTTTAATGTGTTGCTATGTGGTTACTTAGTCAAAAAAGACCAAAAGAGTCTCCATGATATGCTGATGTATTGTAAAAAAGAAAAAAAATGTTTAAAAAATGTTTAAGTTGTTCCAACTTAAATTACATTAAAGAAAAATGAGTTGAATCTCGTATAACTTTAAAAAGTTGAACATTGCTGAACTTATTTTAATGAGTTAACGCAATGTAAGAAATGTCAATGTCCATTTTATATAGCACTATTAATCACAACCTAGGTCGTCCAGTGTGCTGCACAATGAAAACAGAACAAAGCAATACAATATAATTAAAAACACAACAAAATACAACTTCCTCATTGATTATATGTCGATATGAATGTAAAAATATGTAAAAAAAAAAAAATTTGTTATCATAACTTATTAATCATATTCATTCATAATGACAACAATATTACTGGTATCTAAATGGCTATTCCCTCATTTAAAAGGTCTAAAATATGTTTTTCACCCATAAATCATATGTTGAAGCACTTCTCCTAAACAAACCAAATAATTTGAGGTAACATTCATATCTGGGATGAGTTATAAAGAATACACTATGTTGAGTTATATTAGTAGCTTATAGCAATAGTAAAAATTACGATTAGCAAACAAATAAAAATGGTATTTATCATGAATTTACAATCTGTCTGTCAGTCTATCCTACCTTTCAATAATTTGAGGTCGGTAAGATTTTGTAATGTTTTTGAAAGAAGTCTCTTATGCTCACCAAGGCTGCATATATATATATATATATATATAAAAAAACTGTGAAATGTTATTAAAATTTCAGGTAACTTAATATTTAAAATTTAAAAATTTAAAATTTATTTAAAACTAAACGTATTTTCAGCATCATTACTCCAGTCTTCAGTGTCACATGATCCTTAAAATCATTCTAATATGCTGATTTGCTGCTCAATAAACATTTCTTATCATTATTAATGTTGAAAAATGTAGTGCTGCTTCATTTTTGGTAAAAATCATGGGAAAAAAATTTCTGGATAATTTGATGAATATAAAAAAAAAACATCTTTTGTAACATTATAAATGTCTTCACTGTCTCATTTGATCAATTTAAAATGCATCCTTGCTGAATAAAATTGTACACTGTAAAAAAATGTATGGTTTAACTTAAAAAAAACCCGAAGTAGCCTGGTTGCCTTAAAATTTTAAGTTCATTGAAATGGAAAAATTGAGTTAATGCAATGAGGAAGATTGATTTTAATCATCAGAAACTCAAAATATTATGAAATCTGAACCACATCAATTATTTAAGTTGATTTGACAAGTCAATGTTGTGGTTACAAATCATGAACATATACATATATATATATACTGTATATTTTTTTTATAGTGTAATGACCTCAAAACTTTTGAAAGGTGGAGTATCTAAGCCATTTCTTATATCTTACAATATCTTGCAAAATATTTCTATCGCATAAACAAGTTTTTGTTCATTTAAAGTGCCCTGAGATCTTTCTCTACTCACCAGAGTTAGCGTTGTCTTTGGTGACCATGGCAAGCTCTTCCTAACACACCTCAGAGAGCGCTGTTCCAAGAGACAGGTCACATCTGGACAGTCAAGAAAACAAAACAAAATAAGATCTCCTATAAACCCTCTACGGATTCAGGATTACCACAAAGGAATTAACCTTTTGCCCTTCCAACCCCACACTAATACCTCAACATCCATGCCTTTACTTTTAGCATCCACAGATACAGCACTGTTAATGCTCCAGATGTTGCAAACAAAGAAGAAATGCAAAATATCCGACCACAAATGCACTAATACACATTACGATATTGAGAGAACAGAAAGATGAAGAAACAGGAGTAGACGAGGGAATGAAAATGGGAGGTGGGCAGTTTCCACAGGATGAATACAGACATGAAGCCTTTAAAAGCAGCAAAAAATAACTCAAAGTTCCCAAGAGACTTCAAGGCATTTTCAGAGGAAGAAAGACACTCTAACTGGCGTGGCCGTCACTCGTGAGGTACACAAAGACACACAAATCTGCATATCAGGAGTCACACAAACAACACAGCACTACAGAAAATATCCCACTTCTCTCAGAAATAACAAAGTAAAGTCTTACCAAAGCTTATAAGACAGTATTAAACTTACACTTTCATTATTTTCTCCTTTGATCACAGCAGCTTTTCCACTTACTGCTCCAAACACACCGATTACACATGACTGCACATTACACACGACAGAATCAGGCCTTTATGAATTAATGATGTCTATTAGGCCATATGAGTAGACAAGAATTCACTACACAGCAGTCTTATACCAGATATTAGTTTATCTTGTCTAAGACTATATACTGAGGGTGTATATTTATACTATATATTACACACACACCTAAGTTATATAATACATTAAATTGCTTAATAATGGTTTGTATGTTAATTATTATTAATAATAATTATTTGTATGTTTTGATTTAGTGTGCTAGTGGGAAATAGTTTAGATTTCCAAACATTCATTTTGTAAATGTGTAATTTGCACCCAAAAATATATATATTTAAAGCATCTGTCCCAAAAAAATAAATATATTAAATTCACAATAATAAGAGACAACATAACTACCATCAAAACTGACTAGCTAATTACGAGTGTGTTCAATGTTATGTTAAATAGCACTAAATAAACAACAAATTATAATTTTCACAAACATTTACAAGTATAGCTGCATGTAAAAAAAACTACATCTATCCAGCAAATTCCAATGAAATTAAGATTACATTTACAATAATGAGTTAATCGCCATCAATATAGCTTAATTGTGTTTCAATGCTAACTAGGATAATTAAAACCCTACTAAGTAAACAAGTTCGAAGTAATCAACAGAAACATCAGATCATTTTCTAAAAATGTGTGGATGAGCCTCGAAACAGGTTAAATTGGTCTGAAAACAAGTTCAGATGTTACAAATTAAGAATCGCAACAATTGGAGAAAATGAATCATTATGTAGATATAAAAGTTATAATATACAGTATGTATCTTGTTCAGAAAAGAGCTTCTTTGAGAAACCCCCTCCTCATATCTGGAAACACACTAATGAATAATACACACGGAGCACTTACACACGTGTGTGTGTGTAAGCATAGGGAAGGGTAAAGAGAAGAAAAGAGGCGAGAGAGTGAAATATTGATGAGAAACGGCCCTCCACTCAACTCCTCCCCCACTGACACAGACTGATTAAAACTGATACAATATGAAATCATATTTAACTGAATTCAAACTAAAATTATAGAATAAAATCACATTTAAAAGGCAATATTTAACAAATCTGTAGCAATTTATTTGGTCCCACTTTATATTAAGTACTTACATTGACAAATAAGTACAATGTACATATTGTGTTCAGGTTGTATTAAAACACCTTTGCTGCTGATATGGGTAAGGTTAGGGACAGGTGTGGTGGCATGGGTAGGTTTAAGGGTAGGTTAAGGTGAGAGGGAAGGGTCAACTGTGTAAAAATGTAATTAGATAAATTAATTACAGCTCTAATTACATGCAGGTATTTTCAAAATATAAGTACAATGTAAAAACATGTATGTACACAATAAGTCCATTGTATCAAATTATTAATATAAATGTAAGTACACAGTACTTAAAGCCACTTAATATAAGTGGGACCATTTATTTTATATTTATTTATTTTCCCACATATTGATTTATAGTACTATTTATCATGTTTCTTTGCACAAACAAATACAGTGCATAATTTAGTTCAACATAATGAGGGATCTAAGGATTCTCAATAACAACCTGTGTGTGTTATTTTAAGAGAGCAACCACACATCTGTTTTTATTATTTTGTTTGTTAATTTACAATTATATTTAATCATTAGTCATTTATGTAGCTGTCGTTTGATGATGTCATTAATTTATGTCATATAAATATATATTACTTATATACAATTATTTATTTTATATTACTTATTATTTGACTTAATAAATAAAAACATGTCCCAACCTTTATCCAATCTTTAGAAATAATCATCATTCCACCAGTTCAACACGGTCCCCTGCCGTTAAAGTCACCATGAAATCAAAATGGACAATTCTTATTTTTATGAAATATTGTTGTGTTTATTATAAATGATTTAAATGAGCACTTGATTTTTTTTTTATTAATGTGCCCTCATAATCTTTAATAAAAATAATTTCCTATCCCTATTGCAGCGACATCACTTCTCTTCTCTGATGATGTCTTCACTGGCGTGAGGGCGGGTCAACCTGTCACTCACATGAGATCCACCAATAGCAAACCACAATAATCCAATCAAGTCCCAATGGACAAATATACGTCACAACTTCCATTTAATGGTGACTTTAAGTATTTAGTATCCCTTCTGACTCTGTGAGAGTTACATCACCATCACTCTGCCGTCTCCTTTGACTGTTGTTTAATCTGTCCTGAGAGGTACAGTGTCCCAGTCCTGTGATCCTCCACTGAGAATGATGCTGTGCTTGAGGTTTGAGAAGTGTTTTCACTGACTCTGATGGTGAATTTCCTCGGAAAATACACAGGCTGTTTGTAACGGATGGACACAGTCAGAGGAGCTCTCACCACTTCAACTCCTACAGGTGTAGAAAACAAGGGTGAAACCACATTGGGAAAAGATTTTATACATAATATGAAAGTAGATAAAAAGAATAATCATACATTTTATCTACATTATTAATGTTGGGCAAAAGGTTATAAATATATATTTATAAATATATAAATACTATATATTATATCATTTAATAGACTAATTTATATATATATATATATATATATATATATAATTTATGAATATATTATAAATAAAAATATATATTTTACTAATATATTAAAATATATTTTCATATTTATTATATTATGTTTATTTTTTTTTATATTTTATATATAATGTAATATAAAATAAACAATAAAAATATATAATTTTAAAATATAAATTCATAATTATATACTATCATTTTTATATATTATGTATATATTAATAATATAATATATTGTAAATAATTTAATAATAAATATAATATTCAAGTATTTAATTATAATATATATAGGGCTGTGCAAAGATTAATTGCGATTAATCAAAACCAAAATAAAAGTTTGCGTTTATATAATATATGTGTGTGTGCTGTGTATAATTATTTTGTATATTTTATTTTTTTATTTATTTGCATAATAAATATATTTATCATGCATGTATATATTTAAGTATAAAAGTATAAAATATTTTATATATGAATAACACATTTTCTTAAATATATGCATGCATGTGTGTGTATTTATATTTACAAAATAATTATACACAGCACACACAAATATATTATGTAAACACAAACTTTTATTTTGGATGCGATTAATCGCAATTAAACTTAATAAATTATATATTATTGTCTGTGGCCCTCTAGGAGCTGAGTTTAACAATAACACAATTTTTTTGTTTATAAAATGAATTTAACAAAGTAATACATAAAAGATAAATAGTATATTTAGGCTATAAGATAGGCTATTTACACAATGCAAAATTTTGCAGTGAAAGTCATTGTAAATTTAGGAAAGTGTATTCCTATGGACCTACAAAGACATTTACGCCATTCCACTGCTGGTGTGAATAGCCCTCCAAACATCACTTACCATTGTGCTTCTCCATCTCTGCCATGCATCTGGAGAACATCCACAGCATGTGTGCGGAGGGACGAGTAAACACATGCAGAGGGCAGAGGTCACCAAACACCCAGGCACATCTCACACCGCTGGACCAAGGAACAGCCAGGCTGATGCATCTCTCTGAGACAGGATCTGGGGGGGAAAAAAAACTAATAAATCACCAGAAAGTGTTAGATGCGTTAGGACGAACACCCTAATGTAGAGTAAAACGCTTTTCCCAGCCACTGATATGAGTCCGTTGTGTGTCATTGGGTCCCTTACCATGGGCGATCTCGAAGTCAGGCTGAGCCTCAGGCCTGAAATTATTGTTAGGAGAGAGTAGAGTCAGTGTGGTGGTCCATACGGTCTGCTGATGTCTGGATGCGGTTAAAGTGAGATCCACCTCCACTCCCGCACTAACGGTCCTGTACTCCAGCACTCTGGCCTGCAGAGAAAACGTCCCTCTTTTCAGCTCATCCACGGGCTCAGTCAACCTCAAGACCTCACGGACACTCAACAGACCTGCAGGAAACAGTAGGGTTGACTAACATGAAAACCATAAAAAACATGCTAACACTTTGCAATAAGGTTCATTAGTTAACTACCTTTGTTAACATAAACTAAGAATGAGGTAATATTCATTTTCAAAATGTACTACTAATACATTATTAAAATCAAAGGTTGTGTTTGTTAGCATCAGTTAATGCACCGTGAACTAACATGAACAAACAATGAACGGCTGGATTTTAATATAATTTAATATAATTTTAATATCCGACTAATATTAACAAAGATTAAAAATACTGTAACAAATGTATTACTCATTGTTAGTTCATGTTAGTTAATACATTAACTAATGAACCTTATTGTAAAGTGTTACCAAAAACATTTGGATAACTTGAAATAAAAGAAAAGCAAAAACAATAAGTATAAGGTTTTTTTTTAACTACAGTTGAAATAAAAATGGATAAAGACTATATTAACAAAACTAATTAAAATGACAAAAAACACATTTAATTGTCATGTATATGAACACACTGATATTCGTGCTTATCCTCATCTCTTAGGTTAAGAACCTTGAGCATTAAAAAACATATTTTGTATTCATTGATCTGGATTATTGACATGTATTATCAGATATATAACAGTACAGAGCTCGCCTCTGATTCAGATTGATCAAAATAAGGCTTTCTGAGGGCAATTATTCCAAATGGCTGTTTATTTTGCTGATTGTACACTTATTTACACTGAATGATTTGTTGTAAAAAAAAAAAAAGGTGTATTTCTAATGAAATTATGATTAGAATTTGTATAGTAAATCTTAAAGAGATAAAATAAAAAATAAAATAAAATCAGACTGGACAAATATATGCAGTAGAATCCTATTTCATTCTTAGATTATTCCTGCTTGAATGCAAATTATGATAGAAATTGATTTCTATCATACAATCTTACCCAAGATTGGGTAAGATTGTATGATTTCTAAATACAATCTTACCCAAAGGGCTTAGATTGAATCTCTCTGAGCACACAATCATGGTGAGCAGTCTGGTGCAGAGAAACTCGGGATAGCACATGGGAACATCTCTGAAGTCACTGTCAGGATAGTCCCAACCGTAACCCGAAACACTGCAGAACCTCCTCAAAGACACAGCATCATACCTACAGATGACCAAACAATTACAGGTTTGCTTACTTATTAAGAACTGGAGTTTCATTAAGCTTTTTAACAAAATGACATATAAAATGCTTGACAGATATTTATTAAAATACAATAATTTAGTATAAATAAAATTATATAATTAATAGTTTGATAACTTTAAAAAAATACATTATTACCTACACCCAGATAGCACACGTACCGCTGCAAGATGTCTGTTAAAGATCACTTCATCTGGAAAGCATCTGCTGTTTACTAGCATGACATTAAGATGATATCTTCTAAAGTGACATCTGACAGGAAACGTCCTAGACGTATTGCAGATGAGACAACACTCTAAAAAATAGATGAAACACACACACACATCAAATAGACGTCTCTGTGATGTACGTGTGCTATCAGGGTAATGGTCATAATCCTAAATCAATACAATTAAAGTGTCTTTAAGTCGTCTTACTTGCAGTTGATCAAAGTGAAAACAAGCTTGTCTTTTGTGTCTTTGTTTTTCCACATTTGTCCTCGTTTTTTGCGGAGAGATTCGTGAAGGTATCTGGTCATAAGATAAACAGAACCTGGCAAATGTCTCCGGGAGTCAAAGACTGTGTGAGATTTAAAGGAGATGTGAGAAGTGTAGAAAACTGAATGAAAGATATACAACAAAGTTACTCCTGACACCACAGCCACAAATGTGCTAAAATGATCCATATTCCGGTCCATCATTGACATTCTTTTACAAAAACATGTAAAGAGAAACTTTTTATGATGTATTCAAAGTTCAACGTAATTTTGTTGCGCGTTTCTTCTTTCTGTTGACATTTTTTTTGATCGTGAAGAGCGCAGCGCTTTATCGCTCTCTAGTGTCTGGGAATGCAAACTGCAAAATCACTGTCGCGCAAAAGTAACAACCTGACATGACGAACTTTTCTTTAATATTAATTACTCAAATGATTTTTTAAAAACTTTTTATAATGTGATTTATGTTGATTTTATTTTATTGTTGCGCGTTTCTTCTTTCTGTTGACATTTTTGATCGTGAATATAAAAGAGCGCAGCGCTTTATCGCTCTCTAGTGTCTGGGAATGCCAACTGCGAAATCACTGTCGCGCAAAAGTAACAACCTGACATGATGAACTTTTCTTTTATATTAATTACTCAAATGATGAACTTTACTTTTATATTAATTATGAACTAAATTAAATTAGATCATTATAAATAATTAAAATAATTGAGTTATTTGAATAACACAAATGGTGAATACTAATGAAATTATAGGTTACTAATGATCTCGGGGGCTACGGATGAAAAATAGCCTTTGGTTAAATCCGATCTAATGGACATTTTATTCTAAAAACGGTGCATGGTCCCTTTTATGGTTATGACGTTTAAGTTTTCCAAAGTCTAATAAAAAATAGTTATAGAAATAAATTCAATTACACATTTTATTAAATGTATTCATGTCTCATCATGTGTCAATCATCTGATCAATTAAACCCGCATCAATCTCAGCTGTGCGCGCGATAAAGCGGCAGGTCGCGGGCTGAGGCGGTTTGACTGGCGGTTCCCTGCAGTCATGTGTTTGTGTGCGCTGCTGAGTGTCGCTGCAGGGATCTTTCTGCTTCTGAGAGGTCAGATGAAAGTCTCACATTTAACTTTACTCAGCTTATTTAACTCTTCAGCTATTGAGAAACTGGTGCAGGCCGCAAATAGGTGTCGATGAAGTCACTCACTGCATACTAAATTACAAACGAATACTGACAGAATAAAGCACTTTATTTTCAAACACTTCAAAACTTTAAGTATTTAAGTCTTTTTCAAACTTTAAGTCGTTTCAGTTTAGTTAGGCCTACGTGCTTTACTTATTTCAGAATGATAGTAGCCTATCTTAATATCTTTGGAACTATATTCACAGTCTTTTCCGTAATTTCCACATTTAAATTATTGTGCTGAAATTTGAAGCTGTCAGTGCGAATCTCAGAAAGCCGTTCAAGAATATCCAGATCACATGTAGAGTAGTTTTTGTTTTTTGTTTTTGCATTGTGGCATTACTTTCATGAGCGGCATTGTGTTCTTCGGTTATTTTTGATCAATTTCTTTTTCTTCATCGGAATGGTCAGGACGGACCTTGGTAAAAGACAAGGTTTTGGCACGCTATATAAACAGAAAACAATATCAGTTTTTAAAATCACGCTCAAATTTCACAACACGTTTAGATTTACGGCTTATATTTTCCTTGCAGTTTTAGAATAAAATACTTTTCTTGTAAAATACTTACTTTATCAGGGCTGCCAGGTGCCAACCTATGGTGCCAACGAGACACCCACGCAGCCCCAATTTCTCAGGCTAAAGTGTCAAGCCAGTCGGCAAAAATACCTGAAAGATACGTTTATCTATAGATCCACCAGTTAAGCCACTCGTGATCGACTAGTTTTACCGCAAATTAGTTAAAATGTCCTCTAGCGATCGCGGATGCGAGACCGATGTTGAGCTCCTAACGGCGCAGACGCAAAACCAGGACTGGAGTAAAAGCACATTCCTCTCTGCACTCTAAGCGTTCTGTTAATCGCTCCGATTTCGTCCACTACGAGTTTTCCAGTCTCCCTCACAGGAAAAACTGCTCCGTGTTCAATCGATTTTAAGTAGCCTATATAAATTTGAAAATAGTAATTTTGACATTTTTCACAACAAACGTAAAATTCTGTAACTTAAGTTCGCTTTAAAAAAACTTTTTTTTTTTACTTTAGCAATAATCTACCAAGTATCGCCTTTAAAAAGAGGCCAAACTTAAGTCCGTGCTCACGACATCCAATATTTAGGACAGTTAAGTTGGAAATGTCACTCTAAAAGTGAATTAAAGGAGTAATTCACTTTAAAAAAAAAAAAAAAAAACTCTTGCTGATAATTTACTCACCCCCATGTCATCCAAGATGTCCATGTCTTTCTTTCTTCAGTCGAAAAAAAATTAAGGTTTTTGATAAACTTTCTCGGATTTTCTCCATTATAATGGACTTCAATGGGAACCAAACGGTTCAAGGTCCAAATGAGAGTTTCAGTGCAGCTTCAAAGAGCTTTAAACGACACCAGACGATGAATAAGGGTCTTATCAAGCGAAACGATCAGTCATTTAAAAAATAATCAAAGTTTAAGTTTTATAAGCACAAATGCTCGCCTTGCTCTGTTCTGTGATGCACGTTTGTGACTCTCCTTTTCAAACTCGTTCATCAAAATGAACTGTTTTTTTTTAGTCATGACTCAAAGGGTCCTAGATAAGACCCATATTCCTTAATTTGTTTTTCGACTGAAGAAAGAAAGACGTGGACATCTTGTTTTTGTGACGTGGACAGTTTTTTTTTTCTCTCTTTTAATGGATATAACTAGCCTACTACTCGATAAGCACCAGAATGTCTTCCCAACAAAACACTACCATGACGTAGGCCTATATATTGTGCTTGTACATATTAATAGTATTTGTTGTAATCCTTTTGTGTTGATTTTAAATAAAAACGAATGTAAAATGAGTGCATTCGAGTAATGAGGATCTATGTTGTGTGTTCTGTTCTAGCTGAATGTGTTGTGGCCGCAGAGGCTTCTGAACATGTTCCCCTCCGCTGCAGATTGGGCTTCAAACCCTGTAAGGACGGATCTGAGTGTGTTCTCTACAGCCACGTGTGTGATGGTGAGAATGACTGTGCTGATGGCTCCGATGAAGATGAATGTGCATCTGTCTGCAGCATGGGTACGCTTTTATACATTTGCAACAAACATTTTTATTACAAACAGAATTTATCGTTTCTAGCCTTGTTGCTCATATTAATTTGGTTTATGTCTGATAACCACTTTTTAGAATAATATAGATATAATTGATAAGTTTTCAATGCAATTGCATGAGATCTAACTAATTAAATTACAGGAAATTAAGAGATCTCTTACTTTCCTTTTCAAGGGAAAATCATTTAATTACTTGGTAATGCATTACATCCAACACTGGCCACCCGATTAATTAATTGCGCATAATTACGCATAATTAATTAATTTCATAATTAATTATGCTATTATTGCAGGCTTCTAAGAATGCTGTAATAATTCCATCTGTCCTCAGGTCAGTTTCAATGTGCACATGGTAAGAAGTGCATTGAGCAACGGCAGAAGTGTGACGGTGTGGCTCAGTGTCAGGATCGTTCGGATGAAGTCGACTGCTTTAAGGAGGGCTGCGCTCTTCGTTGTGACGAAACCCGATGCATCCCAGAATCCTTCATCTGCGACGGAGACGCAGACTGTGCGGACGGCAGCGACGAGGCCAGCTGTGGTACGAGTTTTGTTTAGACTTCTGTATTACTGGATTAGCTATGCAAGAGGAAGTGTAAAATCCTCTGCTTGACCTTTATGGCATACTATTATTATAAAATGGTAGTGAAACCATACGCAACAACAAACATTTTGAAAAGTAGCATATTTTTGTCACATGATGATGTCATTACATTGCATACTTAATTTGGAGTTGCGAGTCTCTCACAATTCGGATTTTATTACTTGTGATTCCGATTTTTCCCAAATACAATTAAGTCAGAATTGTTTCCTCTTGCCTTAGATGTTAACCCTAATGAATATGATGAAGACAACACGGAGAAGGACGAAAAGACAGCGGAGGATGAAGTCTCAGGAAAAGCTCCTGCAACTAAAGGACCTCTGCGCTGTGCTCTCGGCTCGAAGCCATGTAGAGACGGGACGGACTGTGTGCTGTTTAATCATGTGTGTGACGGCGAGTTTGACTGCAAGGACAGGTCTGATGAAGACGAGTGCCCTGTGCAGTGTGAATCTGGTGAGGAAACCACATAACCATACTCGCATTTATGCACTTTTACATGTTGACAATGTAAAAGTTAGTCCTCAATTCCTGCTTCAGCGTTAAAGGGATACTCGACTTTTTTTGGAAATAGCTAATTTTACAACTCCCTCTTTACAACCGTTTTCAAATCCATTCAGCCGATTTTCTGATATTTAGAAGAACATCAGTAACCAGACAGTTTCTGGTCCCATTGATAAACCAGACAGTTTCTGGTCCCAACAGATATAGTACATATCTGTTCCTACTATGGAAGTCAATGGGACCAGAGACTGTCTAGTTACTGATATTCTTCTAAATATCCATAAATCGGATGAATGGATTCGAAAACGGTAAAACCCAACTGTTTAACTCTGAGGGAGTTGTAAAATTAGCCTATTTCCCAAAAAAGTTTAACTTGTTAAAGAAACACCATGTAACTTTTCCTCAGCGGTCGCCCTACAGGTTGGAAGCGGAATTGTCCATTACTGCTGTCATAAATAATGTAGCCTACCGTATCCTACTGTCGCACGCACATGCCCTATTTATCCAGCACCGGCTTTGGATTCATGATAAATTCAAAAGCAACCCGGCTGCTCGGTATCTTACATGTAGTTGTAGTCTACTGTCGAGTACGCTCCACCTATCGCCAGTTGTAAAGCAAGTCAAATTTGTAGTTTTCTTATGGACTACAGAAACGTGACCCGATCTGGCAATCTTAAATGGCGTGGACATATCGGATAAAGGAGTGGCATAAGTCCATTTCACCATGTCACGACTTGATGAACCACTGACGCGATTTTGAAAACATTATTTTAAGGTAAAAAATCTTACTTGGTTTTGCTTTAATATTCCGTCCTCTATCTGTCCTCAGGTCAGTTTCAATGTGCACATGGTAAGAAGTGCATTGAGCAACGGCAGAAGTGTGACGGTGTGGCTCAGTGTCAGGATCGCTCGGATGAAGTCGACTGCTTTAAGGAGGGCTGCGCTCTTCGTTGTGACGAAACCCGATGCA